GCCGCTACCCGGCTTTCGACCGAGAACTGTTGGCCACATACGACGCAGTCAAGCACTTCGCCTTCATGCTGGAGGGCAGGCCGTTCACCTTGTTCACCGATCACAAGCCGCTGGTGGGAGCCATGGCGAAACCAGCCACCATGTCGCTCCAGCGACAGCAAAATCAGCTGAGTTACGTAAGTACGTTTACCACCGATATTCGCCATGTGAAAGGAAAAGACAATCTCGTCGCCGACTGCCTCTCCCGTCCAACGCAGGTGGACGCCATCACCCGGGCCATGGCCCGGGCTAACCCAGACCTCGCCCCGGACGACATCCCGCTGCCGGAACGCCGGGCTCCCCGGCAACCAGACGTGCAACCGGCAAGATTCGAAGAGGTCCAAGACGAACTCCACCGTGACGGGCACCCTTACGACGACGCGGAACCGCAAGTACCCCCCCAGCGGGCGCCACCTGCGGCTCAAGCACCGCAGCGGCTCGCTCCACGACCGGCAGTGCCCCAACCGACAGGCGACCCGCTCGATCCCGGATTCCTCGCCGCCGCACAAGCCGCCGACCCTGAGTTCGCCGCCTACCGGACCGCCTGCACCGGCATGCGGGTGCGACAGGTCCCGGTCGACGGTCACCTCATCTGGTGTGACACGTCACACGGCAACAACAGGCCGATCCTACCGGAGGTTTCCAGGAAGACAGCGTTCCTGCGGTTGCACGCCACTTCCCACCCGAGCGTCCGCCAGACAGTGGAGCTCGTGCGACACCACTATGTCTGGCACGGGCTGAAGAAGCAGGTCGCACAGTGGGCGCGCCAGTGCACAGGCTGCCAGCGGGCGAAGATACAACGTCACACACAGGCACCTCACGAGCCGTTCCCATCCCCCTCGGGCCGGTTCCGACACGTCCACGTCGACGTAGTGGGACCCCTGCCGCCATCAGAGGAGTACCGCTACCTTCTTACCGCCATCGACAGGTTCACCAGATGGCCGGTAGCGATTCCTATGAAGACAGCTACGGCCCGGGAGACAGCGGCAGCGTTTACCAGCGGCTGGATCAGCAACTTCGGAGTGCCCG